GATCCGTGTCGATCAAAATAAACAATTCTATTGGCTTTAGGTCACGTGATGGACACGGCTTTAGACGACCCCCCGATATGGAAATTGATATGCAGCATAGCCGGTCACGTGCTCACGTGACTAACCACATCACATGACTGTCGCTTTCGCTAGAGACGAGTAATAAGTGTCATATATGCCGTAATCGATTTCGGTAATATAGGTCTTAAGTGTTGATTATGGCAAATATTGCTCTTCGGTCTTCTTAGTGTAGATAAAGGGCGTCTTTCGTTCCACTTTGTAGGCATCTTTGCCATAAGAGCTTATTAATTAAATAAAACATGCATTCACTCATAATAAATAAATATATAATAATGTCCTCTTTCGAGTATAGCCTAATCACCATATATTCTCTCATTTATTTACACACTCTACTATTACATGATATAGATGTATTGGTCACTTTCAGAAAAAACCACGTTCATTAAACATGAAAAATATAAATATCCTAAAACTTTCATGAAAGAAAAACCGAATTGGTATTTGCAAACCGAGATGGTGCAAAATTAGTCTTATGACAATTTAGTCTATAAATCAAATTGAATGCATAAAGATAAAGCAATATGTTATATATGTATAATAAATATGTTTATTATAAGAGTCTAATTCATATCCTGTCGTTTTTATACATAATTCTTTCTAAGCTTTATTAGCTGACGAGAGCTGTCTTAAGATAAATTTCCATACAAACTAAGCACACCAAACTTATTGGATAAGCATTCGAACGAAAGTTTAATAATGTTGACTTTATCGTTATAATGATTTGTAAAAATTATTGTACTAAATAGTTTTTATTATACGGATAGTGCTGAATCAAACTTATCCGAATTGGCCGAAAAATCATTCAGCAGGTGTTCCAGAAATTATGATTATGCGTACATACGTACGTATGTACGTAATGTATAGTTAAAATGTATGTATAGTAGAAATTAAGATAGTGAAATTTTTTTTTAAAGACTTACCTATAACCTATAATAACTCTAACATAAAAAAAGGGTAAAATTAGAATTCACTCTAACCCTAACTATTAAAAAGAAATCACTTAAAAATAGATGTTATAAGCTTTGTTAACCATACATATTTTCGTAAAATTTTTTTTTTTTACGATTATACAAATAACTGTATACATTACTTACATTCAAGTTTATACTATACATATTCTGTAATATCCGAACTTTCCACAGGAGTACAAAGTTCAAATCTAAATTGTAGTCTAAGTAAATCTATTCGCCAAAGCAAAAGAAGTATAACCTTCTAATTAGAACCTAGGATTTTTAGGATATGTACAAATCATTAGGGCTAATTTTGATTGTGATTTAATTAGCCCTTATGTATTTTACGTCATAGCCACTCACGTGCTCGAGGCTCTGTTAGGAAGATATACATTAATCTTGTGCATCCAAATGCCCTTATGTAAAAATAGATTTTATTTGGGACATTATCTACCGTTATATCGGTACTGTAATAATTTCTTAATAAATGAATTCAGGAAATCATAGCGTAATTGTGTAATAAAAATAATATTACGAACATTTAACAATATAACAAATAAATGATCGAAGTTTGCGAAGCATTATAGTGGTAGACATTGACTTATTTTTTTAATAGTGCTAAAAAAAGTCGTCTTAATAAACAATTTTAGCTATTAACATTTTGTTAAACCTCAAACTGTTCCGTGTACAACATTGTCTATTACTATTGTATTACTATGCAGATCAATTATCTCCAATGAGATTTAATAGAATGTTCTAAGAACTTCACTAGTTGTATTATTCAAGTATGTATTATTGAGTGACTTACAAAGACTTCCGACGGCCTTCCATGGCGACATTGTTAATTATTACAGCATTAGTAACGTGCTGGTGGACGTTAATTCTCACTTAGATGGTGTGTGTATTTTATATTAAACATTTATTCGAATAGTTGTAGATTATTAGGAGTTCCGTCTTTATATCTGCAAGTACAGTAGTATCGGCTAATTCCATTTCAGCAGAATTCTACGGAAGGCAAGATTTGGATTACAAAAGAATGCATTAATATTTTATTTAACATTGAAAAAATTAAATTTGATCGATCATAATTTATTTGTATAATAAACATAATTTATTTGGTACGACTAATACTGGTACAACTGGTACAACTGGTACAACTGTACAAGAAACTAAGCGGCTATTCCGATTTTTTTGTTTAATAACGTGAACAATTACAAAAACTATATATTGCACCTTTTATCTGACTTAGATCAATTTGATCCATATTTTTTTCATTTCTTCCCATAATATACATTCCTTTAATCAATTTCTGAGATAATTAAGTCTCGGAAAATCATTCTTTCATAAGATGTATAACATTAATTACTTGATTTTCATCCTAACATTTTTATATCTCTTAAATACCTCGAGTCAACAAGACATCTCATGGGATGGTAGCTGCGGTCCTGACTCTAATACCAGATGGTACAATAAAAGTCCTGTTGGCAACGTATTTTTATTTCAATCTTAATGGTCATTTTTATCTCCATCCTTTTTTTAGTCCCGACAATTACTGCTGTTCTCAATGGGGCTATTGCGGCACTACATCCGGTATATTTCTTTAATTATTAATTTTCCTTAAATTGCTTTTTATTAAGCTTAAATTTCTTTCTTAATAGATTTCTGTGATCTGGATCAAGGATGCCAACTAGATTATGGTACCTGTGGTCAAATCTCAGATGATGGTACATGCGGTCCTGACGCAAATAAAAGATGGTAGGTCTTGCTAATTTAATTATGGCGAATGACATTTCCACACCATGTAGATCACTTTTTTTTTTAAAAACATTAATCGAAAGTATCTCGACGACCATCTGACCAAATTCGATGAATTTTTTTTTTATTTGAATTCTACAGACTCGTAGGATTCTAATAAAAAATATTTTATTGAATTTGGCCGGGTGGCTATCGAGATATCATCAATCAAAGTTAGAGAAAATTTTACCGTGGCTGTTATTTTGATTGACGTTTATATTTTTTAAGCCTATGATCGAAGGTATCTCGACGACCACGTGACCAAATTTGATGATTTTTTTTTTTATTTGAATTCTTCAGACCCGTAGAATTCTAATAAAAAATATTTTATTGAATTTGGTCAGGTAGTCATCGAGATACTTTCGATCAAATTTTTTTTTTAATAAAATCTAACGTTTACATCAAAATAATAGCAGCGGCGAAATTTTCTCTAACTTTGATTGAAGGTATATCGGCAACCACTTGACCAAATTCGATGAATTTTTTTTTATTTGAATTCTACAGACTCGTAGAATTCTAATAAAAAATCTTTTATTGAATTTGACCGGGTGGTTATCGAGATATCATCAATCAAAATTAGAGAAAATTTTACCGTGGCTGTTATTTTGATGGACGTTTATATTTTTTAAGCCTTTGATTGAAGGTATCTCGACGACCACCTGACCAAATTTGATGAATTTTTTTTTATTTGAATTCTACAGACTCGTAGAATTCTAATAAAAAATATTTTATTGAATTTGATCAGGTAGTCATCGAGATACTTTCGATCAAAGTTTTTTTTTTAAAAAAAATCTATACGTCTACATCAAAATAATAGCAGCGTCAAAATTTTTTCTAACTTTGATTGAAGGTATATCGGCAACCACTTGACCAATTTCGATGATTTTTTTTATTTGAATTCTACAGACTCGTAGAATTCTAATAAAAAAATTTTATCGAATTTGGTCAGGTGGTCGTCGAGATACCTTCGGTTAAAGTTTTGAAAAAAAGTGATCTACATGGTGTGGAGATATCAGTCACCTTAATTAATTATGACTTAATATAAATTTTTATTTGTCTAAATGTTTTTTATTTTTTCTCTTTAGTAGCGACAACTATTGCTGTTCTCAATGGGGTTATTGTGGTAGTACACCTGGTATGTTTCTAATTAATTTTCTATTTTCTGGTATAAATTCTAAAATTCTTTTAATAATACCCTTTCCTACGTATTAGAATTTTGTGATCCAGATCAAGGATGTCAAAGTGGATATGGTTTTTGTGGCCTTTCAAATGACACTAATTTTGATGATGGCATACAGGTTATCAACACTTGCCAAAATCCTTATACCCTAGCGTTAACTTTTGATGATGGTCCACGCTCTGTATGTAATTTTTATATTTTAAAAATTTTAATTTTCAAAATTCGTTTATTTATTTAAAATTTTTTTTAGTGGACGAATGACTTGCTCGATACACTAGATGAATATGACATAAAAGCTACATTCTTTGTTAATGGTCACAACGAAAATGATTATTGTATTTACGATTTCGCTGAAATTTTGCAACGAGCTTACTCTTCAGGTCACTTAATCGCCCATCACACATGGTCTCACCCATACTTGACAGGTGTCAGTGCTGATGAAGTAAATTATCAAATGGAATTCTTAAATGAAGCATTTAAGAAAATTCTCGGTGTTACTCCAAAATATTTCCGGCCTCCGTATGGTGATGGTGTTAATAATGCTAACGTAAGATCTGCTATGTTAGCAAACGGAATGGATAAATTGATAATATGGGATGTGGATACAGAAGATTCTATGAGCGGAGTCACTGAATCAGATAGTGAGGAAAAATTTACTAATGGGATTAGTGATCAACAGCCCCATATCGTATTAAGTCATGATAGGATTCCATCTACATGTAATCAATTGGCACCTTTTGAGATTTCTCAAGCAATCGACTATGGGTATTGGTTTGATACTGTGGCAGGGTGTAATGGAGATTGGGACTCAAGTAATTGGTATAATATTGATACTGGTTATTTTGGCACGAGGGACGAAACTTGGACATGTAATTATGAAGATATGCATGATTCATATGATACATCACCTCAGTAAATTAATATATTCAAATAAAAACAAAAAAAGTAATGGGAAGCTAGAAATATTAAATCGAATTAATTGATTTCAAACTTGTTCGAACAATTTAAAATTTCTAGTCATAGATAAATTAGATTTGAATAATTTGAATAAAAATAAATTAATCAGACTGCTAAATAACATGTATTTGAAATAACATTCTAAGTCAGTGTTGGACAATATCAATTTCATAATCATTTTACTAGATACACAAATATGCATATTATATGTTTTATCATATAATAACATATATGACTGTCATTTGTAATCTGTAATATGAATGCTGCAGGCAAAAAACGGATACTTAAATAAAATTTGGTAAATAAGTTATTAGATTAAGAGTAAAAACTATTGGTTAAACCCGTCATTAAATGACAATATTACGAGGATATAAAACTTATTACAAAAACTTACTACACTAACTAGGCGCTTGAGATGTTTAAAGGGAGTTATAAATTTGATGTGTATATCTGTATATTATAGAATATTTTTAGTA